CATTGAGAAGTGTGTATCTATACAGCTCACCAGTTATCTTGAGGATAACAACTTGCTTTCTAAAGTTCAGTCCGGCTATAGGAAGTTTCATAGCTGTGAAACTGCAACAACCAGAATCCATAACGACATCTTGATAACTATTGACAAGAAAACTAAAGTTGTTCTTTTACTTCTAGATTTGAGTGCTGCCTTTGATACTGTCAATCACCCAAGATTAATCAAGAAGCTAAGATCTGCTTATGGCATTACAGGCATTGCTCTTACATGGATCAGGTCCTACTTGGCTAACCGTTCATTTTGTGTCAAAGTCAAGGATTCGTCTTCCTCATCAACTGTTCTTGAGATAGGTGTGCCACAAGGTTCAATCCTTGGCCCCCTGCTATTCATATTGTACACCAAAGATCTTGAGAACATTGCAAGTATGCATGGGTGCTGTATTCATTTGTATGCTGATGACACCCAGCTGTATTTCACTCTTGATTCTGATGACCCATCACAGCTAGAGCACAATATGGAACACTGTATGTCTGATATCAAGAAATGGATGACAAACAATTTCCTTCAACTGAATTCTTCTAAGACTGAAGTCATCGTTATATCCTCTAAATTTGACTCAAAAAATATTCCAGCCTCTCTACAGATTGTTAAGGATCAAGAGCCACATGTTGTTAGTGGAACTGTAAAGAGTCTTGGGCTGTATTTGGACAGTTATCTTTCAATGAGTGATCAGATTACGTCAGTGGTTCAAGCATGTAATATTCAGATCAGAAATTTGTGGTTTATTGCATCAAAACTGTCTTTTAACCTTAAGATTCAGCTTGTTCATGCTCTAGTACTCTCTAGAATTGATTATTGCAATAGCGTATATTTTGGACTGAGCTCTTATGATTTAAGTCGTTTACAGAAGGTGCAAAATTCTGCTGTAAGATTTATTTTCGGGAGAGGAAGAAAGGCACACACTACTCCACTACTTAAGAAAGTTCATTTTCTACCAGTTAGATTTAGAATAGATTTTAAGATTGCCCTACTTGCCTACAAGTGTTTAAATAATATAGCTCCTCCTTACTTAAAAGAGTTGATATCTCCTAGGCAGCAAAGTTTTAAAAATGTACGTCTTGATAATGATTATTTTTACCTTAGTTTTCCGCCCTCTCCTAACTATGTAAACACAGAGAAAGCTTTTAGTCACTGTGCAGTTAAAGTATTTAATTCCTTGCCATACGACATAAGATCAGCTGAGTCAGTTACATCTTTCAAGACCAAACTTAAAACATACTTCTTTTCTCTAGCATTTGATTGATTTTGCATTTACATAGGTAAAATGAACTTGTCATGTCTAATTTTCAATTAAACTAAGCTCAGTTAATGTAAGAGCCGCTTTAGAAAGCACTGGAGTTTATCTCCAGGATTAAATTATATCGAGTTATATGATTTAGCTATAAGGCGGTTTATAAAAGTTGTATTTATTTATTTATTTATTTATACCCCCAAACCGTTCAAGGGTTTTCAATTGGGTCTGGTAGAACCCCTCTCTAGCTTCCATAGCCTTTTCTTTGTCTGCTTTACTAATATTAGGCTCAAATACTAAAGCGTCTACTATAATGACAGAAAGGTGCTTACTGAGTGAGGAATTATAGGAGGCTATGGTACTAAAATCTAAATCATGATCAATATCTAAAAAATGGTTAACTAATTTACAACTTCTTATACCTTTCTTTATGTGACTCTTATGGTTAGAGAATCTCTTAGGGAGATTTGAGGTAGTATAACCGACATACGACTGTTTACAAGTCTTACACTCCATTAAATAAATGAGGTTATAACTCTGACAAGATATATACTTAGTTATAGGGAAAACTTGTTTAGAATGGTGACTACTAAAATTGGAACAGGGGGACAGGAAATTTTGCTTACAAACATAACATTTACCACAAGCATGGCACCCTGGGTCGACAGCCCCGGGAACCGCCCTTAGACTTTCGGAGTCTGGTTCCTGGATCTGGCTTGCAGTTGTTTCTCTCTCATTATCACAGTTTAAAGTTCCACTGGCACGGTACTTATTGTGTACAAGCATGCCACCGATAGTTTGATTCTTTCGATGACTCACGAATACACTGTCCGCACGTACCAGCTTCTTCAGGGCCGGATCAAGGTTGAGAAGGTGCTTATACTTATGGATAATGCCCCCCATGTTGGGAAGTGCTGGGTTTTGATCCATCACCATGGGTATTAAACAGGCAGTCGACTCATCCTTGTCTTTAAGGGTATACAAGTTTTTCCTATTAGCTATATCACTAAATTTGTTAAAGGCATCTTCTATAATACTGGAATGATAACCTCGGGCTAGAAGGTAACGTGTATAGACCTCTCTCTGCTCCAAGAAGTTAGTGTCTTCACTGTTGTTCTGTCTCACCCGCCTCGCCACTCCAAAAGGTATGTTTTTTACAACATGGTTCCTATGGCATGACGTGGGGATAAGGTAGCAGTGGGTGTCACTAGGTTTAGAGTAGAGTTTGGTGTGGACAACATCACCAACAGCATAGACATAGGTGTCTAGAAACTCAACGCCGTCCCTAGAGTAGTCGTAAGTAAACAAAAGGTTTGGGTGGATACTATTGAGCCATTCCATGAATTGTAATAATTCCTCAACAGTACCGGGCCAAGCCATATAAATGTCATCACGTAATCTACCCCAGAATGCAGGTCTATGAGGCGGGCCATATTCTAGATCTCCTTCGTTAACTAAAATATCAATCTTATCCATAGCACAATCAGCATACTCACATGAGTTCTTAGGACCCATCGCTGCTCCACGCTCCTGGCGGTATGTTATACCGTTAAATGAAGCAATGTTGTAATCAAGAGTAATTTCTAGTGCACTAATAATGCATTCTGTACTAAACAATTGATCACCACTACTCCTTTTATTCAGGTGCTTAGTGCATTGTTGGATCCCCATATCCCTAGGAATGTTGGTAAACATGTTAGATATATCGATGGCAACATGTATAACCTCCTTTCCCAACAATATGCTAGACTCGTTCAGGCTATCAATCTTCCTCAGAAAGTGAGGGGTATCAATAATTCTATAATTCAAAGTAGCCTTCTTCAATTCATACGCAGTCAAGGCAGAAAGGTTTTCAATGTATGAACCACAGCCGGTGGTAATCATCCTCCCAGGATACAAAGGTGGTTTGTGTGCCTTGGGATTCAGGTACATGTTTCCAGGCTGGTTAAGCTCAGTACATGGAATAACCCACTCCTTGACCTTCTTGGACATACCTAATTCATCTTTAAACTCAATTGTCCAATTCGAAATTTTATCAATCAATTCTACAACTAAATCATCTACATTATTTACAATACTATATACAGATCTATCATTTAAATGTACACCTATTCGTTGAATATAATCTTCTTCGCTAAGAAGGAAGAATCCTACTCCTTTATCGAATATATATTATATACAAGGAAGTAATTGGTCTAATTTATCGTTTGGGTTAGGGTTTCAGCATATGATTCAGTTAGGATTGGGTTAGGGTTAGGGCCGGGTTGAGATCAGATTAGAGGTTTAGGGTTTCGAATAGTCATCCAGAACCACCTATAGGACGTGTTTAAAAAGTCACGTGACAGCCGAGTGTAGAGTGATTAATTATCATCCTTTATGTCACGTAGTCAGTAGTAAAGTAACGAACACACTAGCTTAGTGCTTCTTGGGGGCCGTGAATATCTTATGTATTACAAAAGATTTTAAAATGCCGTTAGTTTACATTTCTAGAGGTCAAAACAGAATCTGCTAAATAACCCAAAATAGCCCTATCCTAACTTCAACTTCAAAGATATTCTAAAAGTTAAGGTCTGTAATTGGGGATTGGTATGATGAACAGCCTACAGCAACTTTTGGTTGTTCATGGGCTTCAGGCTATGTCCGAACAGGCAGACTCCAACTGTTTCTTTTTTCTCCCAGTTTATATAAAAATGAAAGCAGTTAGGGGACCTTCCTAGCACTATTAAATCACCATAACAAGCTGGATCAATACAATGTCTGCTTAGGCCAAATTTCAAAAGAAACAAGAAGAAGAAATATAGTGAGCCTTTACTCAGCACCACTGGCATATGTAATCATACTCCTCAAGTAGAGACGAAATGTCTTGAAAGATGCTAATTGAGGGTTCCTCTATTTATAGTACCACATTAGGGGTCGTCACATATTACGTAATCACTCTTTGGACAATTTTTACCCCCCCCCTCCCTTCCGTAATCAGTTTCACACATAGTTATTGTATCAAAATTATACTAGCTTAAACCCCCCTCAGTGATTACGTAATATGTGAACGACCCCTTATGTGGGCTGTTGTCTGAACTTGTACCATGTGTATAAGTTATAATGATTTATATACAGTCTAGTCAAATGGTTCTTACAATTTGTGTTTATCAATATTTTATATGACATGATGGGTAGCAACCTGTTAAAAGAGCATGTTCCATTATATATTTTCTCTGTAAATGTGTCCAATCTTACTTACTGAATGCAGATGCCCAGTAAGATTATGCTTACAGTTGTTCTGAGCTGAACATTAACTGCTGCTTATTGGACAACTGATCCATGTGTGGCAATGATTCTCACCATTCTGATTTTTCGCCATTGGTAAAAATGTCAGGTGAATGTTGTTGCACACACTGCTCAAAGTTGTTGATGCTGGGCCCTTAAAAACTGTTGAATTCAAGGAAATTTTGCAGTATAAATTGTAAGAAATTTTCTGGTCAAATGATGAAAATTTGTTACTGTTACCATGGCCTTGTTGCATTGTAAGTGGCATTACTTAACTTTACTTTTGTTGCATGTTATAAATTATACTATAGATCACTATCTTGCTGTAGTTTTACATTCATGATTATAATGTATGTACAATTTACTGATAAACCAATTGTTCTGGTAAAAAAGCCATATTTTTTTTGAATCATAATTTATTATTTACCAGATAATTTAAAGTTACGATTTCAATCAAATTTCTAGATGCAGATTGACGAAGGAATTGACATCCTCTGTCCCGAAATTAAGTGTATCAATGGAAGCTCCTATAGAATTCTCTGCCAACCAACGGTAACCTCTCTGCCGGTAACATCTTTTAAGACAAGCAGTTCTAAAAGAGGTAAAGAGCAGTTCTCAAGCTTTTCCAATGTGTATGAGGATGAACCTTCAACTTGCAAAGCTCCTAATTCTGACTGTAAACCTGTCAAGGAAGAATGGCAGACGTCTGAACTGTCTACACCTAGTTATTTTCACAAGTTTATTGTCGGTAAGAGTGGGACTGTCAAAAAAAGACTTGAAAATGAAACTGGAACAGAAATGTTGGTCCCTAGGCCTCGTGAAAACAAAGATTTTATCACTGTAAGACATAGAAACGAGAGTTCTTTGTCATCTCTTGAAGTAAGAGTGGAGAGTATTGTTTCAAGTGCCAGAAAGAGGGAGCGACCTACTCACTTTATCTCAATTCCTGTGGCGTCTGATGAAATAACAGCAAGCCTGCACAAATTTCAAGACCTCTGTGGTGATATTATACACCCTCATAAAGTCCAGTTTGCCTCTAAACTTCATCTTACAGTTGGGGTACTAAAACTTTTTTCCAAATCCGAAGTTGACCAGGCAAGTGATGTTTTAAAAGAGTTTGCTCCTCGCATTCCATACATTTTGTGTGGTAAACCTCTCCGTGGTGCTTTGAAAAACCTTGAGATCATGAATGATGAACCTCAGTCAGTTAATGTGTTATACGGTGAAATTCTGTTGTTAGATGAGTCAGAAAGACTCCAAAATTTAGCTGACCAGTGCTTGGAATTCCTTGTTGAAAAAGGTCTGATGGACTATGAGCAAAACAGAAATAGCAAGAGCGTAAAACTGCATTGTACGCTGATCAATACTCGGTGGAATAGTAATGGTCCAAAGACCATTGATGCAAATCCATTGTTATCTGATAATTTTGAGCTTAAAAACTTTGGTAACTGTGTTCTGGATAGACTTGACCTGAATGAAATGACCACTGATCGTGACAGGAAATATGTTAATGTTACTACAATTTCTCTTGTATAAGCCACATTCAACTTAAAACACTGTTTTATTGTTTAGCATGATTTTATGAAGTTTGGCTCTTGTGTTATGAAATAATGTTACCAAATTGGGTATTTTTTATTATCACAAATACTCGAGTTTAATTATTCTTAAACGATTAGTTAACTTGGATCATGCTGACTATGAATTGTATTTGGCAAAACTATCAAAATATTTTGATTGTAACGGTGTGGAAGTTGGTTTATATAGATTTTCAATCAGGAAAGGTTAAACCACATTGTTACGAAGTCACTGTTTCTCCAACCATCAGTAAGATGTTCTGAACCAGCATTGGGGACATAGCATGCTATTTCGTGTTAGAGGATGTAGACAAATTGCCGAATTTTTTAAACGAACTATGTCCGAAAACACTTTTGACTCAACTATGGGACCCTCAGAAACAGGTTGGCCGAGTAAAGAAGTACCATTACTTAATCATTTTAATCGACATATTTTTGGTAAAGGTGGGGTCGTTAAGAAACGACTGGAATGTTTGACTGATACCCAAATATACCTGCCAAAATCTGTTAAAGGTCAAAGAAGAAAAGATGTTATCAATGTCAAATACAGGAATGAGAGTTCATTGCATTCTTTTAATAAAGAGTTAGAAAGCACTATTTTAAATGCTAAGAAACGGATGTCCCCAACTCATTTCATCTCAATTCCTGTTGCATCTCCTGGAATCACTGAAAACTTGAGAAAGTTTCAGGACCTTTGTGGTGAAAAGATACACCCTCACAAAGTCCAGTATCCGTCCAAACTCCATCTAACTATTGGGGTGCTTAAATTATTCTCAGACGAGGAAGTACAACAGGCTTGTAACTGTTTGTCAGAATTCTCTGCCAAAATACCACCTATCCTTTGTGAGCAGCCTCTTCACGGCACTCTGAAAAACCTCCGGGTAATGCGTGGTGACAATCAGTTTGTCAAGGTGATGTACAGCGAGTTTATACTCTCAGATGATTCCGACAGATTACAAAATCTAGCTGACAAGTGTTTGGAATTCTTTGTTGAAAGAGGTTTTATGGAGTATCAGTACAATACCACAGCTGTAAAGTTACACTGTACCCTCATAAACACTCGTTGGAATAACGCCGGTCCAAGGACAATAAATGCTTCAGAGATATTATCTGACGAGTTTGAGCTTCAAATCTTTGGTAATTGTGTTCTTGATAGAATAGATCTGAATGAAATGAGAGCTGATAAAAGCTTTGTTGCAGAAAATGATAAACGATATCTTAACGTGTCTTGTGTTTCATTTAAATAATTGATAGTGACTGACAGTGACTGGCAACGACTGTTAGTGATGACGTAATAGGAGAGCTCTCCTATTACGTCATCACTATTATATCAGTCGTTACCAGTCATGTCAGTCTCACTCTCGAGAGTGTGTCTTTGTCCGTGTTTAAGTGCTCTAACAGAATATTTTCAATCATAGTAATACTGAGCCAGATGTCCAATCTCCACTACCTGCCTTCTGTCATGAACCAACTGTTACGACTCTATCTAATGACTTTGGGCTGATCAACATGTCACTGTCAGATATACAATGTACAATTCTATCATAATACACCCACTCTTGATGCATTCAATACCGTCTGTCCGCCTTGTCAATGTTAGATTTATCATCACCTCATGATTCAGAACACCTCCCCGCCAGTGACCAGGTGTTTGGATAGCGTCAATCTGTCATGTTAACAAAATAGCGAGCTGGTTTGTACATGTCTTCTGAGGGCTTGGTTTGTTAGTTACTAGTTGAGAGTAAGTTGAGCAGTAAGATCACTGGTTCCTGACTGGTTAAATCCTTCACAGCATAAACTATGTATTTAATACGTTTCAATTGTGTTATGTTCAATTATGTTATGTTCATTGTTCAGCTATGTATAATTTGATTTTATTTTATTCTATTCTTTGGCATAAAGTCAGAAATGATACCAGATTCTAAGAAATTGTCTGTATACTGAAGCTAATTCTATAACTATTATATTAACTTGATTTTGGATAAAAGCCAAGATTAATGTTATTGAATATTCAAACTTTCATCCGTTAGGTGGGGTTTAGAGTATACATTAGTGTCCGACAGAATACTTGGAAAAATTCTCTGTGCCACAATGCACAGGAAATAGTTAAAAACGTGACGATATTTCCAGAATTTGCCAGCTTCCGGGAAAAATATTCGCATGAGTAAGCTCATAATAGCTGGTTGTCTGTGGATGACTCAAAGTCAATTGAATTTATTTGCTATTCGTTTGTTTACTGTTCGTCTACAACATAACAAAACATAAGAAAGGAGAACAGAAGTACCTACATCAGGCTGAAAATAGGTATGATTTTTGGTTACGTTCCTTACTTTTAATTTAATTAATAGATGTAGGTAATAATGAGGTTATTTGTTTTGGTACGTGATGAACTGTTGGGCACTCAGCCAGCGCCCATATAATGCAAATGGCGTGGAATTTAGCTCATCTGGGGCCAGAGGCAACATGTAGGTGCGGTAATATTTCGTAAATAGTGCGTGCGATTCTGCACCTTCCCATAAAAATTTATTTCATGGTAAATTTGGGACAAAAAAAAACGCTGCAAGTAGCCTGAATAATGCGCCAAATTTTCAGCCTTTATGTAGATTGTTGTGTTTAACACGACAATTAATGTACAGTGTGTCTTATGTCATTTTTACGCTGAGTTTCCTGACAATTCAATATGTAGAGACAGGCTGGTGATGGGCATAGTTGAAGTATTCAATTCTATAATATAGAATTGATCCTCAGGAGTAAACGGTCAATATGGTATAAACGTTTATTGTTTTAAAAATTGACAACTGTTAATATTTCAGGAATTTTTAAGATCATTGTTTGTCCACTACCTTGCGTGGAGTACGTTTTGAGCACATACATTTGTGTAAGAATGTTCTCCCTAATTTCCCAAATTCTCCTTTTATCTGCACAAAGGCAAGTTGAAACAATAGTGGGTGCCAGCAAATCTAAAGTTTCACAAAATACCAATTAAGCTTCTCAAACAATGGGCCGGGGGCAACAAAGCTATTACATTTTGAAGCTTTGCGCCAGAAGATGTTTCATCTATTAATATCATGCATGAAGTTTTTATTTAAACTTTACCCTAGCTATACTTATAGCCCATTTTCAAATCAATCAACTGAAATCCATGAATCAAATTATCAATTAAAGTTCAATCTCTCATTCCTAAATCGATGTTATAAAACCTTTACACGATGGTTATTATATATAGTTATACTTATAGGGTAGTACGACTGCTCATTGCTCATAAGCTGCAACAATGATTCAGTATTAATATTATAAAGCTGTGGCGACCGACCACTATAAGTATAAGAATTAGAACCGCTTTAATTTGACTAGCAGGAACCCGTCAAACCTTCAAGACTGGTGTCAAGGCTCTTTGGTGGCCGGATCAGTTTCCTACCCTAAAGTCTCCCAGTAAAAATAATTATTACCTATTTAATTCGCGTTTTTGACACCACTTGGGGGTCCAAATTTTAGGTACTAAAATTCTTATTCCTTGGCCGATTTTCGATTTTTTCATGCTGATTTGAAGGCCATTAAAGCATTTGAATCAGTTAAAAAAGTTTCAGTTTTATATCTTGTACGGTTTTTGCGGAAACCCGTGTTAAAGTTGATGCCGTGGTGTCAGTAAAATGGTGTGGATAAATAAATATATATATATATTTTGTAGCTGTACTCCTACACATTAAAAGTCGGTGTTGATTAGATCTTCGAAATAAGTCTTTGCATCATTTTATTAAACATCGTTATCTGAGATAAAATTGTTCTAAAAGCAACTGGAATATTCACAAATCTTTAAAATAACTTACAAACTAGGAAAGGAAAACAAGTCTTAGGAAGACGTACAAAACTATGTGACTTAAAACGGTACAAAACTAAAATATACTGAGTAATAATCAAACGAAAAGAATGGCTGCGTACATTTTATCTAATCTATTAAAGATTAGTTTCTCGGAAAAAGCTAGATTTCTCTGAATCAAGCAGTAAAAATATATAAATAGTAATGAATATAACACGTCTCTGATAGCAATATTGTAAACTAAACACGGGTTAATAGGCTGAGATCATGTCAAATAAAATAAATAAACTAAACACTAAGCTCCAGCGGATTTAAAAAGGATGTGGTTACTATCGAGGGTGTTCATACCCCCATAACGCTCAAGGGTTTTCAATTGGGTCTGGTAGAACCCCTCTCTAGCTTCCATGGCCTTTTCCCTATCTGCTTGACTTATTTCAGGTTTAAATTCAAGAGCGTCCACTATAATAACAGAAAGGTGCGTACTAAGTGAAGAGTTATATAAGGCTACTGAACTAAAATCTAAATCATGATCAATATCTAAAAAGTGATTTACTAACTTACAACTTCTGATACCTTTCTTAATGTGGCTCTTATGATTAGAAAATCTCTTAGGGAGATTAGAAGTAGTATATCCTACATACGACTGTTTACAAGTTCTACACTCCATTAAATAAATTAGGTTATTACTCTGACAAGTTATATATTTAGTAATAGGGAAAACTTGTTTTTTTATTGAAATCTTTCAAATCAGTCAATTACATACAAGTTTACACAATGAATTAGTTAAATATAATATTGTCCTCTAAGCATGGATTGTCAAAGTTGAAATTGTCTCGGACAAAATGTATGTAACCAAAGGACCTGAGCTTGAGGGTCACCAAAACACAGATATTGAGTGCAAATGCAGCTCCTGCACAAGCATGGGCCCTTATAAAATTGTAATAAGTTACTTTAAACAAAATCACACACCCATTCAATCAATTCATAAAATATTGTGCTGTGAGATGAAATTGAGAAATATGTGAATGCAGACAGCAAGAATAGATAATCTTGAATAAACTATTTTACGGATTTGTTTCTATTGAATAGTCAAGTTCAGAGTCCGAATCCACCGGGATAATTTTCCCCCACATGTAAGTGGAAAGTTTACTTTTAAAATCAGTGATACTCTCTATCTCACGGATATCTAGAGGAATGTGATTCCACTTAGTGTGGGTCCTATAGAAGAAATTCTTGGCAAAAGCGTTGGAGCTTGCTCGAGGTGAGATAGAGCTTACAAAACATAGAGAGTCCATGTGACTATTTCTGAGCCTTGAGTGGCCTTGAAATGGTTGCAAATATGAGGGTAAAGTGACAGGTATATGTTGCTTCACAATTTTAAAGAAGAAGATGAGATCCAAGAAGTCAAAGCGGTCTTCAATCGGCATAATCTTCAGCTGTCTGCATTTTTGAATGTATGTGGATGGTGGATAACTCATATACTCCTCGTGAAGAATCCACTTAATAGCACGCTTTTGGAGGCCCTCCAGCTTGCTTATCTGGGATTTTGTGACTGGTCTCCATATAACCGAGCAATGCTCAAATAGGCTCCTCACTAAAGTGAGATACAGTACTCTACGACGATTTACGTCTTGGACAAAATAACAATTTCTTCTCGCCATGCCTAATTTTTGGTTTGCCTTAGAAAGGACTTTGGAGCACTGATCTTTCCAATCGAGATTTGATGTCACAATTACACCCAGATCCTTTTCATGATCAACATAGTCAAGTGTGATTCTTCCCATGGAGTATACAAAGTTAAAGAGTGGTAGGACACTAAGGAGGGAAACTGTTTCGGATATCCTTCCTGCGACGGTGAGGACCTTACATTTGTCGGGATGAAATCTCATTTTATTAGAAAGTGACCAGTCATGGAGATAATCAATGTCCTTCTGCAGTCGCAGGATATCAGACTCCGAAACAATCTTACGCCAAATTTTAGTATCATCGGCATACAGTGACAGTTGTGTGCCTGGTGAAATCCCCACTGATATATCATCAATGAACATAATGAACAGCAATGGTCCCAAAATTGACCCTTGAGGTACACCAGACTGGGCGTTTCTCATAGAAGAAAAAAAGAAAACTTAGAATGGTGACTACTAAATTTGGAACAAGGGGACAGGAAACTTTGCTTACAAACATAGCATTTTCCACAGGCATGGCACCCTGCGTTGTCAGCCTCCCGAACAGCCGGCAATATTGCAGCGTCTGGTTCAAGAAATTGACTAGCAGTGGCTTCTCCATCTCTATCACTGCTTACAGTTCCACTAGCACGATACTTATTGTGTACAAGCATGCCACCGATAGTTTGATTCTTTCGGTGACTTACAAATACACTGTCAGCACGTACTAGCTTTTTCAAGGCTGGATCGAGATTAAGAAGGTGCTTATACTTGTGAATAATGCTCCCCATGTTGGGAAGTGCTGGATTCTGATCCATCACCATGGGTATTAGACAAGTAGTCGTCTCATCCTTATTTTTAGGGGCATACAAGTTTTTCCTATTGGTTATATCACTAAATTTGTTGAAAGCATCGTCTACAATACTAGAATGGTAACCACGGGCTACAAGGTAACCAGTATATACCTCCCTTTGCTCTAAGAAATTAGTGTCTTCACTATTGTTCTGCCTCACTCGCCTCGCCACACCATAGGGTATGTTTTTGAGAACATGGCTCCTATGACATGAGGTGGGGATGAGATAGCAGTGGGTGTCACTGGGCTTAGAGTAAAGTTTGGTATGAATAACATCGCCAACAGCATAGACATAGGTGTCTAAAAACTCAACACCATCCTTAGAGTAGTCGTAAGTAAACACAAGGTCCGGATGGATACTATTGAGCCATTCCATAAATTGTAGAAGCTCCTCAACAGTACCAGGCCAGGCCATGTATATATCGTCACGCAACCTACCCCAGAATGCTGGTCTGTGTGGCGGGCCATGTTATATATATATCGTCTCGCTTTATATATAGTAAGATAAGCGATTAACGTTACTTAAGTGACTAAATTTCAATCTGTCGAGGGATTGCGATCCAGCTTGACAAGTTATTTATTTGCCAGGATTCGCAACTCTTTTGTTTAGTTATCAGATGTCGTTAGTAGTAATAGTCAATGCATTATCAACTTTCTGATAATAATGATAAAGAACTTTCTGACAATATTTTCAGAAGAAATATTTGTCTAGTACGTATGTTTGTCCTAATTTAAAAAAGTAATTCTATGAGCATGTCGATTTTATATCATTGTACGCAGTGATACCAAGTTGAAGTACACAAATCTGATATAAAGAAATAAGAATACTGGCCGATGTTGCAAAAACTGCAAATAAAACCACGTGAGAAAATAGTCTATATAATAGTCTGGACACGTTCTTCAGCTATAATTAATGATGAATAATAACTTAACTATGAAAATAAAGCCTGTTAATTCCGTGCCTACAAAATACCACGACCAGATTATAATATCAGCTGTAGGACCAGCTATTTTAGATTATAATATGCCGGGGTTATGTGTGTTACATTACGTATTACGCTAAAATAGTATAAGTTAATCGATGTATTTCCCTAAACTATATAACCTTGTGTGTGTGGGCAATGCCTCAACTTTAACACATGATGCTTACATCTTGTATATTTTACCAGAATCTATTTCTGTAACCCATTGCAGCTATTTGCTGGGGTGGTGTGCGCTTTGGGAGGGGTAAATAGTTGTGTACTAAATCTTTTATCTTCCAAGTTTGTCAGTGACAATGAAAAGTAAAGCTGGTACTTTACCTTATAGCGTCCTATTGTTAGGGCTGACCTTTATCCTTTATAACACTTTAACACTATATTGTCAAGTTTTAAACCGGGGAATATTGTTTGTTTAGTCTATCTAACAAGTCAATGATACGTGGTGTTGGGTAACTTGTCATATCATTCTCATAATATTATACTCGTACTGTATAGATGCACTGAATTTGAAGTCTAATTGAGTTATTTCGCGTGTGACGTTGTGATTTGATTATTGATGATCATTAAATCGTCACAGTACAGTGTCAGTAGCTCTCTGACATATTTTCTTGTAATTTGATTGTTTTTTGGTTGAATTTTTCTAACATTTATCTCTATTTTAGCTCTCACTGATGACGGAAGATCGTTCATCCACTAGCAGCACTATTAATGTCGGGTCTAGGTGAGCTCATTTAGTTATTTAGTTAATTAGTTAATTAATTAATTAATCAATCAGCAGATTTATTATATTTTATACACTGTTTTTATACGATAATTATGTGTTATGAGCTTATGTACCGGAGATCAGTTCTTTATAAAGGTTTCCCTTCCTACTGTATTGTTAATGTGACTAGATGGGCCAGAATTCAGGAAATTTGAGCCACTGTACTTGTTCTCACAAATCCACACCGTGGGTAATGTCTTGATTTCCTTTATTTAACCACTGATGTTGGCCACATGTATAATTTGATTTGTGGATAGGCAGGCGGTCTTATCGTTGTAAATGTGAACAGTACACGATGATGGGTTTAATTGTCTGTATAATGCACTGTGTGGAGGTGTGTACAATGTACAATGTACTATGTATAATAGTAGCTGTACGTGTGGTACGTGTGGTTCTACACAATGACGTAGTGTCAACTGTAGTCTACATGCTATAGTTAAGATCGGGAACCGGAAGGTAGCACTTATTACACTCAATAAACATTGTGTACAAACATTGTGTACAATGTACGCTAGTTTAGTTTAGTTTAGAAATTGTCTCCAAAATTAGCTTCTACTATATAATAGCAAATCTTAATAAATATTTAGGGTTAAATCGCTAAATTATCGGTTTTTGATCTTTTAATAATAATACTGCTGAATACCTCTCGTAAAACAAAGTATATGTTAAGATTATTATGTTTGGTATGTTTGGTATGTTATGACAACAAATTCTTACAAATTCTGACAACTTTTCGGGGTGTTTCCTGAGACTATGGACAACACATTCCTAGACAAAGAGAAACCTTTGGTACAAACTTATTCCCAGATGGTCCCATAAATTTAAATTTTTGCCTCAACTATGTTCCGAAAGCGAAAACTAAGTCTGAGAATTTCTTAAAAGTAAGTTATAAATACTTATCGGTTAGCATGTCTACATAACACGGTGCCTTTGTTAATGCTATTTTTAAAATTTTGATTCGAAAAAATTACATATGTAACAATAAATTAAATCAAGTGATGCAATTGGCAGAGCACAATCATAAATCATGAGCAATAAATCTCATTTATCCCTCGCGCTCGTAGCATTAAATTATAGGCCCCTCCCTGAGGCACTTTATGTATAGCTATTGTGTAAAAATGACACTTGCTTAAGCTCTCCCAAACCCCCTCCGGCCTCCCCCACCCTAAGTTGGCGTAATATGAACAATCCCTAACTAAACGTGAGACTGATTACATCACATAGAAGCTTACCACACGATTTATAAACCCAGTCAATATCACTTCTAGTAATGAATTAACTCATTAATCTAAAGATCGCACTCTACGTATCAGTTGAACAGTCCAGTATATTATCTATGTGTTTAATGTTTATACTACATAGCGTATGATTGTGATAATAACTGCGACCATACAGAGCCATGTTATTATAACACAGACTATCCCAACCTTACGTAATATCCTCCACACCGGAACTCTATATATATACAGTGATATAACTAACAGTGTGTCACATGTTATTGATGATAACTAGCATTTATTTATAGTATAATCGTGTATCCCTCACCCCAAAGAGCCGTACTACAGAGAGCCGTACTACTACTCTAGTATATTGTATTGCAGTACTACTATTAGTTAGTACCGTAAAGCAATCAGACCTGTGTGCCTTCTAAGGAATAATTCCCGAACCTTCTACAACTTCACTTCTACACTCACAGCCTCTGAGCCTCAACATTCAACAAGCTTTACACTCCCAGCACTTCTCCCAGTCACAATAAGTTCGCACAATTATCTCTTTATAAACCTTGTGTTCTGGCTAGAATTTTCCCGGAAAGAAAAAGAAAAATCTCGAAAAACTAACTGACCGCAACTGAATAGCCATTAGTAAGCATCATAGTTAAAACACTACACAATCAGAGCGTTTAACTGAGTGTGTATAATGTTAATACTTATATTGCTCAGTGGTCAGTGGTACATGGTTGACAGTAGTTGCTGGGAATATGCTAGTTATAAGTAGTGTTAATAATAGATATACTTCAGTACTGCGACTACAGTACTGTGACAAGTGAACTGTGAAGGGTGGACTGAAGTTAAGACAGTATTGTCAGACCGTGTTTTAATATTTAGTCTTGGGACACAACCCTCCATTCTCCAGTACACTCTCTTAATCATACTCAGTATTCGCCTTATAAATTTTAAAATTGTGACATCTTTTGTGAGTCATGGCTATTAAAAACCCGGTTGCTCTAGAACTGCGCTTTTAAACTTTTAATACTAAAATGTAACATGATTACCGTAATTATAATTGGATATCAAGAAGTTGGAACCATTATTGATCGCAAATTTTTCTTAATTTCGTCAAATGTCACTTAATATTAGTCGAAAATAACATCTAGAGTAATTTAAAACATCTGGAGATGACTAAGAACTGATTTTGACGACTTATGATAATCGCCGCTCGGTTTACATCTCGTCTAATTAGTCAAAATTAGTCGTATTTAGCCCCCTCTCATATAGAAATAACTTTTAATTGATCAGATCGTGGGATCTCTTTGAACATTCCAGCAAAATGTCGAATATATTATACCAAAATTATTATACTAACGGCATCTTACACTAACCATCTAAACGTGACAGCCACGGTGTTTAACGTGTAGAAACAATAATTGTTCTGGTAAATTCTGTAATTGAAATAGAAATTCTGAATATATAAATTCTGTAATTCTATAATATGGAAAAGTCTGTAACTGTCATCCTAGTTAATTCTGTAATTCATATGGTAAATTCTAAAATTGTGTAATTGTTATTTTAACAGTAAACGATTGCAGGTGTAGTGAGTTGGCTCTGTGCCAAACAAACCTTGTCATACAGAGGCTAAAAGAACAGGATCCTCAGCTTAACTTCAACGTTATCAAGATGACTACCAAAGGTTAGTCTTGTTTTATTTTAAAATGAAACATAAATTATTTTATTTATTTAGATTTTTAGTGGTCACCCGATTTCTCACAGCGCACACATTTTCTCATACAATTACTTCTAGCCAGCCAATATATATTGGATATTACATAATATTACATAATATTACTACTGATTGATAAGCACGTCTAAAAAACAGTGCGAGTAATTATAACCGTGTCGTGTAATTGCTCCCAAATTGTACTGCGTGTTAAATTTGAGAATGACTAACGTGACCTGTGTTTTAATGTTGTGTCACGTGTCACGTGCTAGGAATTCGTGGTACCATGGAGATCACCTTCTATTTTGTTCTTTTACTCTACTTAAATTCAGCTAAATCAATGTTATCTAATTTTGATTCAAATATAGAATTAGCGTGTCCATGTACATATTGTGTATCAATCAATAAATTAAAAAGGTGTGACAAATGTGACGTGTTTGTGAATTGTAATAAAAATGCAAGTGTAATGCTGTAATGCATTTGAATTTGTTATCTAATCCCACGGCAACATTTTTGCTTTTGAATTACAAATTGCACGCGAAGACTACTATGACTAAACTTTAGAGTTTCGCGAAAGTAATGCTTTTGAATTTTTCTGCTTTCACTTTAAAATAAGGAATGTCAACCACACGTAATCTTTTAGAATATCCAAGATTAAAAGCTAATCTCGTTACCAGCTTATTAGATTGTCAGAAAAAGGTAAAAATTACAATCGCATATTTATATGCGATTATGTTATCTAAACTATTAGTTTATAAACTAATAGTTTAGATAACATTCCTAGATAACCCTGGATAACCTTGTAGTCTTGTACTGATTACCTACTTTCCTACCTTGAACTTACACTACCAGTTAGTTGTATGGGGTGTTATTGAAATACGTTAGTTGGTACTCGTACTGAATTTTGACGTGAATTTAAGTTAAGAACTTCCGTACACTTTCCTGGGCTGTAGTTCGACACGAACTGAAGGGTTTGAAATACAGTTCGTGGCATCATGCCAAGATGCTCCTTTATCAACATTATATAAATCTACTTCCCTCAATCATTCTGAGAAATTGTTTCCTGTATAGCCTATAGGGTCCGAAGATATATAGGGAACCACATTACATTTCACTTTTCCAAGGATCTTATTCGTTTTCCCAAAATACTAAGTCAATACGAAGACTTTATTTTTCAGCTGAATTCGAATATTGGATATTAACAGGGACTATAAGGTAGTAATACCCTTTAAATAATATGATAATCTCTAAATCGTGTAATGAACATTGAACAGTAATTATAAATAGTTTCATATTTCAGGTGATCAAATTCTGGACAAAGCTCTGAATAAGATTGGCGGTAAAAGTCTCTTCACCAAAGAGTTAGAGATAGCGCTGGACAATGGACAGGTTGATTTTGTTGTGCACAGTTTGAAAGATCTGCCAACAACCCTACCACCGGGACTAACCATCGGCGCGGTGATAAAGCGCCACGATCCCCGGGACTGCGTGGTACTTCACGCAAAGCACCGGGCAGTGACGCGTCTGTCAGCTCTGCCTGCAGGATCAGTGCTAGGAACTAGCTCACTACGTAGGATAGCACAACTCGCCCGCCACTACCCTCACTTGCAATTCGAGAATATTCGAGGTAACCTGAACACCCGGCTGCGTAAACTTGACGATGATAATAAATATGATGGAATAGTGTTAGCCGCAGCAGGGATCGAGCGCTTGGGATGGAAGGACAGGGTTAATGTGTATTTGGAGAAACATGACATGATGTACGCAGTGAGTCAGGGTGCAATGGCTGTCGAGTGCAGAGAAGATGACGTTGAGACAATATCCATGTTATCAAAGATCCACGATCAGCACACTGCACTGCGCGTAACAGCAGAGCGTGTGTTCATGAAGGAGCTGGATGGCGGCTGCAGTGTGCCCCTGGGAACATGGAGTGTGCTAGATAAGAATGAGTTGCATTTGTCGGGTGCAGTATTCAGTATCGACGGTAAAGAGATGTTGTTTAGCGAACGAACTGAGAGAATGCCATCAAACGAGTTCTTGCCTCACCCGCCTGCCCTGTTTCCTACTTCTGATTTCTTCTCACACCACCAGGTTGACATGATACACGGACAAAGACCCAGACTAACATCCGATGTGCTCTCAGTTAAGGGACTGTTGAATAACAACATCATAGTTCACAGGACTGGCATGTGCTGTTCTACTAATGATGTTTCCAAGTACGATTGCGCGGAGCGGTGTGGGTTGCAAATTGCTGCGTCACTCATCCGTAAAGGTGCTAGAGATGTCCTAGATCGGGCTAGAGCAGCTGGGAATGCTGAAAATGTGAATGAAGCTCCAAAGAAATTTGTAGTGGAAAAGAAAAGTATAATAGATTCAACTCCAAGGACCGATGAACATTTAGTCGATTCAACACCAGGGACTAGTAGTGAAGGTATAGTTAGTTTAGAGGATATTGTTCCTGAAGTAACGAACCATAATTTTAATTCATTAGAAGGACCACCGTGTAAAAAATCAAGACAGTCTAGTTCATCATAGATAAACTTCTCGACCGTTTTCAGAATTCAAGGTCTTTTCGCAAATAGGGATTGATGTAGAGTTTCTAAAAATACGCTTTTGTATTTACAATTTAGACAAGTAGTTCATCATTATTTGTCTTGGATTGATAAGTTATTATTTTTACAAGAGTCATTTTGTCTTTTGAATGCGCATTTTACTTTTCATGACCCTATATCTATAATTGCCATTTCCCCAATGCAGGGTGTGCTTTGTGACCCCATATAATTAAAGCATGGCCCTTTAACTTGTACATTTTATCGTTACCCTCTATATTATACTAAATAGCCTGAGCAATTTATTAATTTTTATTCATTAGTGTATAAAGTAAAGTAACTTTTACTAAAGTTTCTTTAAGTTATGAAGTTATGCCTTATGGAAACCCATTACCCGGTTTCTAAGATCCCATTTTAGTTTTTAAAAGGAGTAAGTACTCTTTGCAAGGTGATAGCAAGATTTTATAACATATCCAAAAAATATTCGATGATTGCTGGTTTGAGTGAAGATGGAAATTATCGTATGTTTCTAAATAATCCATTTAAAACTTTTCGGTGAGCATAAAAACTTTTGTTGAAACTTTCTGCTTTTGTATTCTGAAAAGCCCTAGTTTTACTTGTGACCCAAAAAAGTCAAATCTAATAAGAATGTCCAGAGTTGTCTGGATTTTAACGTGTTTGGTTATATATACGTCATACGGTAATTAGATCGGAATTGGATGTTCTAGAATCTTGGAAGCTGCCACGGAAGCAAATGGAACGCGCGAAAACAATCGTCTCAAAGTTATACAAAATACCCTTAACTCCGCGCGCACGTACTCATGCACAGCTGCGCTCATAGTAGACACCAGATTCAAACTCTAAACCAGGATATGATGGCTCATGAAATTTCGCTCACCCAAAAATCATTACGCTGACTTTGGTTTTAGCAGATCATGGATGGTTGGGGTCAGAGTTAAGTAGAGGGTAGGGTTTTTGAACTGTTGGAATACCGTGCTGGAACCACGTTTAAATGCATCGAATTACTTTTAGTTTTAAATCCTCAGGCAAGGTCCTCTCACAAGAAATTAACGACTTTGAAACAACACTTAAAAACGACCACATTATTTTTCGTAACTGTGATTTAAAATGTATACAATTAAGCAAAATTACAATACATAGTCATACTAATACTGACGTATCCCGTTGAAAAAAGTCTTTTAAAATGAAAATTAGGAAAGTTCTGCATAGAATGTTGTTAGGGTGAATCAAACCCATGCTAGAAATATAAACACTACATCTTTGTTCACAATTGACTAATAATGAAACCCCCTAAATTAAATAGAAGACACCAGAAGTTCGTTAAGTGCGGGATCAAGAGATCGAGCAGATATCTTCATATTGATAACTCCGTCAAATACAATCCTGGTTTTTATCAAACATTCCACACCATCTGAGGGAGTATTGTATTAAAGTTGATAAGAAAAGGTAGCGCCTCACAAACACAACTGATAGTCGAAAAGTCGCACAGCAATCAATATAAATACCACAATAATAGCAAGTTGAAATTAAGTTTTTGTAGAAATAGGAATATCGATTAGAGTTTAGACCTTATCAATAGAAATACATGACTGACAGTTAGTACTAATAGTATAAGTGAACATCTGTTCTGAAGAATGTTAACTATCTTTCAATTCTGAGAGACACGAAACAAATACGTCATATGGGGTCGTTCACATATTAAGTAATCACTTTTTGGACAATTTTAAACCACTCTCCGTAATCAGTTTTACACATAGCTATTGTATCAAAATTACACTAGCGTAATCATTTGAGCCCTACCCCTTCGGCTGATTACGTAATATGCGAACGACCGCATATAACAGCAAGATTTTGCACGCGGAACCAAAACACACCTTTATATTGTCCAGCAAGAAGTAAAGTGTGTGCAGTCTTGTCTTCAGGCACTCTGTCACTCCTCTCACAGGGCTGCATACCAAAGAAGTTTACAAGTTGGTCCACCGCTCCTGCGCAAAGTTATTGTCAAAATAATACGTAAATTTAGGACAAACTACAAACCTTTAAGGTTTACAAGGTTTAGGGTTTACAAATATAGATCTATATATTACAGTATAATAACGTTAGATCGGCGTTGCTAAAAAATCCATATACAAAACATTTAAATGTTATTATAAACAAAAAGTTAATAAAACAAATATTTATTTTTACGGCACAATCAAACAATATCAATAATAAATAAATCAGGGAGGTTTGAAGTGGTTTCATGTGCCGTAAGGCCAATGCTTATCCTTTAGGATTTGAGAGTGACTGGTGCTTGAAACCCCCTCAACCATCCTTCGTCAATACAAATATATGTCTATACAATATAGTACAAGAATTGCGCCGCGGTTAGCGGACGCTAGATTTCCATCGCCGTTATAATGTTAATAATAACAAAAATCTACGTCATTTTCCGTATAATAAATCAATTTCTCGATCGTATCATGTTCCACGGCAAATAAAATCAACATCTGGTTTATATAACAATATAAAACGGATTGCTAATTTCGTATAATTAAATCAATCACGGTATAATAAATCAAGCACTCAGAAAAAATCACGTTTAAATAATATCGAGCATCATTATTTGGGGTGGGATGCACGAGTGGGGAGCATCATAAGAAGTGACCATGACAGAGTTGAAATTAAAATCTGGGTGACGGGTCTTAAGTACCTTGATAATTTCACTCAAATAAGATGATTCAGGCACGTCTCTAGCTGGATGGAGACCGCCGGAATAGCGATAAGAAAACTGACCATAGTATGCAACACGTCTATTAGGAAAAGTGCGGTCATATATAACGTCATCGTTCAGTAAAGAAGTCGAAAATGTTTCAAAACAGGAACCATCAAGTGTCTCAAATGGTAATGTACCTGGTTCTGAGTCTGTACTGTTACCATGTGGACGTTGGCTAGGAGGAGTGGAAGGGATCAGCGGAGGACTGCAGCGTGTGTTCGTAGCTCCAGTAGTAGTTGAAGCGAGCGTTTGTCCTTGGGCGATGTCTTTCTGGAGTTCTTCAAACTGCTTTCTTGCGCTTTCCACACGTTTTGTTGAGTCTTCAGTGTGCCTCGTAATCATGTCAGTTAGATTATTGACAGTGTTAAATAAAAGATTCAATAAACCATCTTGTTCTTGGCCAACTAAAAGCTGAAAGTGACCTCTCAGGGCGTCCCGAGCCCCATTAATTTCCTTTTTGCTACTACTACTACTACGGGTTCTACGAGGTAGCTCTAAGCGGACCTACTAGTAGCCGGTTCCAAACCGGCTACTAGCCGGCACTTAGAAAGCGGTCACTAGCCGGCTACTTAGAAAGCGGTCACTAGCCGGCTACTAACCGGCATCATTTTGATTGATTATGTGGTATTTACATTTACGTTGTGCTTTACATTTACAATTTGTTTCAAATAACAAGTTTCAAATAGTAGCCGGTTAGTAGCCGGCTAGTGACCGCTTTTCAAGTGTCGGCTAGTAGCCGGTTTGGAACTAGAAGGTCCGCTTTAGAGCCGGCTAGTGACCGGTTAGTAGCCACTTGGTGGTTACTAGCCGGTTAGTAGCCGGTTAGTAGCCGGCTAGCGACCGCTTTTCGAGTGCCGGCTAGTAGGTCCGCTTAAGAGCCGGCTAGTGACCGGTTAGTAGCCACTTGGTGGTTACTAGCCGGTTAGTAGCCGGTTAGTAGCCGGCTAGTGACCGCTTTCTAAGTGCCGGCTAGTAGCCGGTTTGGAACCGGCTACTAGTAGGTCTGCTTTAGAGCTCGGCTAATAGCCGGCTAGTGACCGGTTAGTAGCCGGTTAGTAGCCACTTGGTGGTTACTAGCCGGTTAGTAGCCGGTTAGTAGCCGGCGAGTGACCGCTTTTCAAGTGCCGGCTAGTAGCCGGTTTAGAACCGGCTACTAATAGGTCTGCTTTAGAGCCGGCTAGTGACCGGTTAGTAGCCGGTTAGTAGCCACTTGGTGGTTACTAGCCGGTTAGTAGCCGGTTAGTAGCCGGCTAGTGACCGCTTTCTAAGTGCCGGCTAGTAGCCGGTTTGGAACCGGCTACTAGTAGGTCTGCTTTAGAGCTCGGCTAATAGCCGGCTAGTGACCGCTTAGTAGCCGGTTAGTAGCCACTTTGTGGTCACTAGCCGGCTAGTAGCCGGTTAGTAGCCGGCTAGTGACCACTTTTCAAGTGCCGGTTAGTAGCCGGTTGTTAATGTGAAGTTGAGGAGCTGTTATTACAAAAGTGGCTACTAGCCGGCTAGTAGCCGGCTAGTAGCCGGTGTTCATATGGTACTGTGCAGGGACGTTGCATAGACGTTGCATAGACGTTGCATAGACGTTGCATAGACTGACCGTGCAGGGAGTGTGCATAGAGTGTTCATTGTGCAGGGACGTTGCATAGACGTTGCATAGACGGTTCTTTTGTTGTTGCACGGACGTTGCATAGACGTTGCATAGACTGTCAGGTGGTAAACGACCAACTTCCCGCGTTGTTCTCTATACAATATATTATATGTAGTGCTAGAATTAAAATAGTTCAGACTCTTGGGACAAAATTACTGAGGTAAACGACCAAGTTGCCAACAACGCCCAACGGGTTCTTAAAGTACGATACCACACATTACCGAGCGTACTAAATCACTCTACAGTCGATCTTCGAGATTGTTCTAAAAGGGCCCCCGACTGTTGAAACCAACTTCAATCGATGCATTTTCGGACGCTGATTCCGAATCACCCCCCATGACATAGGGTTAAAATGCTCCCCTGACGAGATATAGGCGAAAAACTGTCTCGATCACGTGATATGACCGTATAAGGAAGTTAGTCTAATTTCTCGTTAGGGTTAGGGTTTCAGCATATGCTTTTGTTAAGGATTGGGTTAGGGTTAGGGTTGGGATCAGATAAGAGGGTTAGGGTTTCGAATAGTCGTTCAAGACCAGCTAGAGAACGGGTTGAAAAAGTCACGTGACAGTCGAGTGTAGAGTGATTAATTATCATCCACACATTACACAATATTAAGTATTTCTGGCTGCAACAATTCGATCACATTTACAATGGTATTACTTTCAATGCCTTGCAGTTGCATGTGGAGTATTCGTATTTTCAGTAGCTATCAGTTTTACATGGTACCGTTCCAAACTACCGGGTTTGTTCCAAAGTTAATTTAATGTTTTTTGCGGAATAAAACGTAGTGCTACTTATTACGTAGTTACGTTTCATAAACCATAATAGTTGTATAGCATAAAAGTTTCTGCGAAGTTTTATAAATATTATAAAGGAGCAGACACGTTTTTATTACATTTTTCGGTTATCATGCCATGTTTTGAATTGCAATCGACGTTTTTATGCGAGTGTGCTAAATCACTGTACAATGTACAATGTACAATATACAATGTACAATGCAATGTACACGATCGAACTTTGAGATGTTTCTAATATAAAATTAAGGGCCCTCGACAGTTGAAACCAACTTGAATCCTTTTGTTTGCAGTTTGTGTTCGTTTTACTTAGCTTCTATTAGTATTTAGCCTACGTATATAACAACCCTGGCGCGTGGGGACACGTTTTTGCTAGTAGTTGGCTACATTATTTTACGGGTATCGAATCTCGCGACTTCAACGAAGTCCTGGGGACACGTTTTCAATAGTTGATAATATTTTCAGCCCCTATCGTTTTAAGCATCGTTAGGGCTTTCCCAGAAACTAACTCTCATCATCCTAGGATAATCGTGTGTCGCACAGCATCTCTTTCAGTAACGAGAGTAGTCGCATGCAGTCCAGAATGACGTGTACGTTTCGGTCACCTGTGGAAAAAGGAAGTGAGATATCAAAAATCTGAGAAAAACCCGTTGGATAAAAGCCTTTCAGGTAGGTGCTAGTCAAGATTTCATCTCTTTAGACCTTAAGGTGGCTTCTAACACCTCGTAAAAAGTTTTCAAAAGTAAAATTAACTCGCGACTATAAAAAAACAACAAAAACGTGTCCCCAATTTGCTTTTTTGAGCGCGCCGAGATCACAGATCAGCGCACCCAGCTGATCTAGCTACTATGAACAGACACACAACAATATCAGTCACATTTTTGATGGTGATTAATACTTTAATAACATTCCACAACAAGGCAACCATTAACTATGTAGTGTGTACCGTGTGCAGTGTGAAGTATAATATAGAGTTGGCATGAAGTTAACAGTTTACTTATCACGAAGTTTAATTAGAAGATAAGGAAAATATTGTATTGTTATCTGTCAAAGGAATTTAATGTATTCTAACAACTTGTTCTTATAATAACTAATCAATGAACCACATACAGGGTTGGTGTGAGTGTAAGAATTTGTGTGAGAAGATATAGAGAAGCAAAATTCAACATCACTGTACACGGCCATACTCGGCTGAATACACCCCATCTCGTTCGATCTGGGAAGGTAAGCAACTGCAGGCCGGGTTAGTACTTGGATGGGTGACCGCCTGGAAATTCCGGGGTGCCGTATCCTTTTGTTATATTTTTGAAGAATTGCTTTACTGAACAGAAGAATTGTTGTATGGCTTTTACAGAATTGCAGTGATTATTAAGAATGTCATTGTATCCTAAGCAATATAGTCTATGTTCAAACGGAAGGAAATATTTCCAAATGTCAGAATAACATTGCTTAGAATAGTACAGCTACTAAGTTTTGTCTGAAAAGGGCTTTTTTGTTTCATTCTAAGATCTATCTTAAACATTCTGCTTAAAATTAACTAGAATGTATTCTTAAGTTAACTTGAAGAGTACTGCAAGGTATCCTGGAGTTACCTTGAAGAGTACTACAAGATATCCTGAAGTTAACTTGAAGAGTAGGTACCACAATTAGGTATCCTGAAGTTAACTTGAATAGTACTGCAAGGTATCCTGGAGTTAACTTTAAGAGTACTGCAAGGTATCTTGAAATTAATTTGAAGAGTACTACAAGGTATCCTGAAGTTAACTTGAAGATTACTGCAAGATATCCTGAAGTT